GACAGCAGAGCGCTGCTCACAACAGGTGACAGCAGCCAGTACCGGTCGCTCGTGTTCGTCAAAGTTATCTTTCATAAGACGATAATAAAACGATTTATATAAAATGGATCCAGAAGCTGTAGCCCGTCTCTGCCGACAATATTTAGATATTTTTCACCCTGTTGGTGGTTTTACTGAGCAGGTGCCACGTTTGTCATACGTTTCTTTTTAAAACATGTTTAGACTGTTCAGAATACAAATCCAGGCTCTGTCACGTTTGATTGTTGTAATTAAACTTTGTAGGTGGGGAAGGTCAGAAAAGGATCCGATCATTTTGTTTTTCCCTCATTTAGACGGAGATAACGGCGCAGTGCGCCTGGCTCTGGTGTTAATCAAGTTTAATTTTATCTATTTTCACAAGAAAACAGAACAGGTAAAAGCAGGGCTTGTGTTGACCGGACAGTTCCCATATTTGACCGTTTATTTTGACGGAGAAAGAATAGAAAGAATTACCCCGACGCATGCAGATGAACTGACATTTTATTCTACGCACATCGCAGATGTAGCTAAATCGCTCAAGAAAAGATTCCCATCTGAACATCTGAGCTGGACACTGCTCAGCGCAGCTCACTGTCAGCGTGTACTACATAAGGTATACAGCGAGCTGAAGATGTGGAGAGGGGCTTGGAGCGCGTCGCAGAACCAGAGAGCATGCGGGAAGATTCCTCCGACTGAATTCAGTCGGAGGAATCTTCCCGCTGATCTGAATCTGATGCGGCTCTCTGTGCTTGTAAAATAATGAATGGATATTTAAATAAAATGCTTTATATTTTACTGAATTAATTTTATATCTGTATGTCAGTTCTATGTAAAGATTGTCTGCGTAAACCTGAACAGGCCCAACCCAGTCTTACTGTGAGACCGGGTTGATGGGTCACGCTTGTGCAAAATCAGAGGCGCTTCCTGAGCTGAAGAGGATGTGAGATTCTGGGATTCTCCTCAGACGGCTCCTGGATGCGTCACCATATCGGAGACAAGAACAAGCACTATTCAGCCAAAGTTTCATAATCAGGGAACATTTTCTAAGTGACAAGTCTCTCTGAGAGACAGGGTTTGGAAAATACTCGCTTCAGTGGGAGGAACCTTCCCGCATGCGCTCTGGTTCTGCAACGCGCTCCAAGCCAATCTCCACAACTTTAGCTCGCTGTGCACATATGCGCTGACAGCGAGCTGCGCTGAGCAGTGTGCAGCTCAGATGTTCAGATGGGAATCTTTTCTTGGGTGATTTAGCAACATCTGCGATGTGCGTGGAATGAAATGTCAGTTCGTCTGCATGCGTCGGGGTAATTCTTCCTATTCTTTCTCCGTCAAAATAAACCATCAAATACGGGAACTATCTGGTCAACACAACACAAGCCCTGCTTTTAACTGTTTTGTTTTCTTGTGAAAATTGTTGGAAAGAGATAAAATTTAACTTGATTACCACCAGAGCCAGTGCACCATCATCTCCGTGACGGTAAATGAGGGAAAAACAAATTGATCGGATCCTGCACGTCTTTTAACACATTGGTCAGGATTGACACACTTTGTTTTCATTTAGTTGGTTAAAAAAAAGTCGGGCTCGGGCTCGGGTCGGGCTAGAGAATCCTGAAAACCTTTTTGGGCCGGGTCGGGCTGGGGCTCCACCCCCTCGGGCCGGGCCGGACACGGGCTCAGATTTTAGGCCCGTGCAGGGCTCTAATAGGAAGTCATTTTGGTTGCGATATTATGCTGTATGGATGGTTTTGCTGGGATGACAAGTAGTTCAGTTTTAGAGAGGTTGAGTTGGAGATGGTGGGATTTCATCCATTTTGTTATGTCAGAGAGACGGTTTGACACTCATGCAGAGACAGTGTGGTCGTCCGGTGGAAATGACAGATAGACCAGGGTGTCGTCTGCATAGCAGTGGTAGGAGAAGCCATGTGATCGAATGATCTCACCCAGTGAGGTGGTGTATGTGGCAAAGAGAAGAGGTACTAGTACAGAGCCCTGGGGGGCTCCTGTGGCAAGATGGTGCATGGTAGAGGATTGTCCAAGCCAAGATACACTGAATGATCGTCCTGTGAGGTACGATTCAAACCAGGCATGTGCTTACTCTGTGATGCCCATGCTAGAGAGTGTGGACAAAAGGAAGCCATGGTTGACAGTGTCAAATGCAGCCGATAAGTCGAGCAGGATAAACACTGAGGATTTGCCTGTCCCTCTAGCTTCTTTTAAGGATTCAGTCACTGCTAACAGAGCGGTTTCAGTGGAGTGGCCCTGTTTGAACCCAGACTGGTAAGGGTCAAGCAGACAGTTTTGTGAGAGGTATTCTGTGATCTGCTTGAAAGCCACCCTTTCAATGATTTTGGACAGAAAAGGGAGGAGAGAGATAGGTCGGTAGTTCTCCAAGTGATTTGGAGGAAGAGATGTTTTTTTGGCAGCGGTTTAACCTGAGCATGCTTGAGAGAGGTGGGAAATGTACCGGATGTCAGTGAAGTGTTGATCACGTTTGACTGCTGCGGCTACTGTAGGAGCAATAGCTTGGAGCAGCTTAGTTGGAATGGGGTCAAGTGGGCATGTAGTAGGGCGGCTGCACGTGAGAAGCTTGGACACACAATTCTCAGTGAGAGGGGAAAAAGAGGAAAATGAAGCAGTAGGGCCTGAGATGGTTGGGCTAGAAGGAGTTTGTGGTTGCGAATGTTCAGGAGTGTCCAGTTGAGTAAACTGTTTGCTTATAGCTGCCACTTTGTCAGTGAAAAATGAGGCAAAGGTATCAGCTGATAGAATGTTGGTAGGAGGTGGAGATGGAGGGTTGAGCAGAGTTTTGAATGTTGAAAAAAGTTTCTGAGTCAATAGAGCTGAGAATTTTGTCAGTGTAGAAAGCTTTCTTTGCATCAGTGATGCTGGCAGAGAATGAGGACAGTAATTCCTGAAATTTCAATTGATGACCAGGATCTTTTGTTTTGCGCCATTTCTGTTCCGCAGCTCTAAGATTGGTGCGTAGAGACCGGAGGGTATCATTTAGCCAAGAGTGCGACTGAGAGGATCTAGCAGGTCTAGTGGCTAAAGGGCACAAGTTGTTAAGACAAGAGCAGAGTGTGGAGCAGAGTGACTAGGTGGCTTCATTCACTTCATAAGCAGAGAATGTGCTGGGAGATGGAAGAGTGGAGGCAACAAGAGAGGAGAAGTAGTTGGGTGCCAGATTGCGGAGGTTGCGGCGGAATGAGACCATTGGGGAGGAAGCAGTGGACCTCCCTTGTAGAGTCGTGCTGAAATGGATGAAGTAATGATCCGAAAGATGCAGTGGTGTGACAGAGATTGTGTCTATGGCATTGATGTGTCTGATTTAATAACTTATTAAAACTTTGCTTTAGAAAAATATTCATTATACAATTATAATTTAATTGAATAACTAGAAAATAATCTCAAATGTCTGGTAACCTGTTAGAGGTGCGCAGAAGAGCATCCAGCTGCAACACTGAGAAATAAAGTTAAAATAAAACCCTGACTTATTTTCAGATGGAAACACTATTTTATGAAAACACAACTTGTGATTGACCTCACTTGTAATTTCCCAAACACGAAAACTCATCAGTGAACATTTACTAAAGAAGTACATCCTCGTTTTCTCCTACACTTTCCATTTTCCTTCTCTACAGATTTTTTTCTTTCACATTTGTCCAGATGATTCCTCATGATCATTCATGTAAATGAAAATAAAGATAACTGTTGTCAGGTTGAATTGCACCGTGGATCTGGTGGGAGAGTCTGCCCCCCTGGCTTTACCGTGAGGTCCGGACCGAACCGGACAGAGCCAACATCTGGACCTCTTTAATAGAGCAGGTCTTTGTAATCCTTTCCATTATTCATTCTCATAATATTCCCTCAGTGAGTGAGTGATCCTACCTGCTGATGCTGCTGGGTCTTGCTGCTGACTCCGGAAATAGCACGTTTTAGTGAAAAATGCCCATTTTGCACATTTAGTGGCGTCTGTTTCTAGAGTTTTCCTCCTGAGTCCTGCTTCTCCCACCCAGAGTCACCTGAAGTGTTCTGTCTGGAAGCGCCTGCAGAAAAAAGGCAGAGGCGGCCCGGGGACAGCGCGGTCTGATCAAAGCCATGACTGAACCCTAACCCCAACAGAAAAAGAGAAGAAGACAAGAACTGACGAGTTATAAAAAATATGTTTTTGTTTTTGTACCTGACATGAGAGGCCCTTTCAGCAGGTAGGCAGTCTTAGGGATCAGCCCAGTGGCATGACGACTGAGCACCGGTCCAAAACAAACAAACAAACAAACAAACACACAAACAAACAAAAACAACACCGCGCCTTGCGGTCCAGACCCCGATTAGCCACTCCGGGCCTATTTGAGGTTATCAGTAGTAAACTCTACAGTAAATAAATGTCTGACCAAGGGACTTGTTAACAAAATCAGAATAATTAAAATAACAATAACTGACATTTTCATACCTGCTTTGTCAGGCTTATGTTGAATAAACAAATGCACATTTTATTAGCCTAAACAACCCACTTTAATTTTTACACCCACTTTATGCTCACGAGGAAGTTATAAGATCTAATTAAAAAAGCAAAATTAATTTTGTTTATTCTAATAATCTACAAGGTAATAATGCTTTATAGTAACGTGTACATGGAACCAGCAGTCATTCCGTTGTTTAAGGTAAAAAAATCCATGAAACAATCTGAGATTACCACGTGATTCCTTAAGGTTTGTAAAGGAATTGGAGTCACCTGTATGATCTCACAAACGCTGAAGACCCACGTGATGCTGCCTGATTAGCTTAGTGGCTGTGTCTCAATTCAGGGTCTGCATCCTACGTCGGCCGGATTCGTCGGCCGGTTACGTCACAGCGCCGCGACTAGGCCTGTCCCAATTCGAAGACTCCTTCAAATGCGGTCGACGAATGCAGCCTTCTTTTCGCCTGAATGAAGGATGGGTCCGGTGTATCCTTCAACAGGTAGCATTTCCCAAGATGCCTTGCGGGCCGGCCAGCATTAAAACTTAAAAACAATGGCGGACAGTGAAGCGGGAGCTGTCGGAGAGGATTGCGCATATAAATGTCAGTATAAACTTGAAAACTGTTAGGTTAATGACTTTTTGTGATACATGAACGTTATTTTAGTTAGAAATGTTACAGTAAAAGTGCTTGTATTGCGGTCTCGGCTCGTATGTTCGGCCGCGCTCGGTGTCGTATTTCTCCCGCTACGTTTTCCCCCTGATTTTAATAGAAGTTTGTATTTTAGGAACAAAAGAGAAAACCAGGGAATTTATTAAGCTTAGGGCGGAGATGGACCACATGATCACCGGAGCAAAGTATTCGGCGGCTGTGGCATGGAGGTACAATAACATCTCATATTTTAAAAACTCGTTTGAGTTTATTTTTTCTGCGAAAACATGAAAGGAATAACCCGTTGTCCTCTTTTCTCTTCCTGTTTCTTTTCTTACATGTTTGTTAAGACTATTCTGGAGAAAATGGGCATCCAGGGGAAGGTGCCAGCGATGACCAGCTTCTGGATCTGATCAGGGAGAACATGAGGCTGCAGAGGGAGGCAGAGGGCCCAGGAGAGAAGGAATAACTTTGACAGCTTTTTACTTTGCTAGAAAAAAATGGTTAATAAAGATTAAACATGTACATATAAAAGAAATATCTAAATAAAATCAGTTTTGCATTAAACTCTTGAATTTTATTTTTGTTTACAAATGAGAATTGTTCAATATTACAGGGTATCCGCTGGGTCTTAAAGTCTTAAAAGTTGATAAATGGGTTTTGGTCAAATTAAGACCCTTAGAAAGTATTAAAAACTATTATCACATCTTTGCTCAGGCTCAGCTTGTCTAAAGTATTTTCTCTGAATTAGTTCTCCAACAGTCAAGGAAATGATTAACCCCCAGAGACCCACGGTTGTAACATTACAACATCAGATTTAAGTCTACAAGAATAAACCTTCCCCATTTTTTCTTTTTAAAACTACATTTACATTGCTAATAGGTCCTATTGTTCAGTTCTGCAACACTATTGACTGTTAAAATGTGTAAATAGGCCCGTTTATCTGGCCTAGAACAACATGTGAAAGGTTAAATAAAGATTTTGCAGTTGTTTTCTAAATTTGGGTCTCTGGGGGTTAAAAAGCTAAATAAAACGTCAAGCTCCATCGTTTAAAGTTCCTTCTCCCTTCTGCCCAGCGGTTCCACGGTTGCTAGGCGACGGAACGTTCGCGGAGGGAGTTCATGAAGGCTAGGCCTGTCCAAATTCACAGCCGTTAACATCCGGTCTACCCGGCCGACGGAGGACGCAGCCCACGTCGGCCGAGTGGGCTGCGTCCATCGAAGGATGCAGACCCTGAATTGAGAGCCCCCACAATGCCGCTCTAAAAATGGTCCCATCCCGGAAGTAAGAAAAATTGCAGTTCCACCCTCATCCGCTGGGGGCTGGTGCCAGAAGCGAGCAAATCCTCTTTGACTCCCATGTTAAAAATGCCGATTTCACAGCAGAAATAAACATGTTTACAGCCTGGTGCCAAAACATGTTTTTTGTCTAAATTATCTAGTTTATACTCATGACAACTCTGAGGGGGGTGAATTTTTTTCTCACTCTTCTGTATTGAAAGCCTAAAATTCTGTATGAGCATCCGACACACGTGACCGCCGCCTCAGACCCACGTGACCACAGAGCTAGCTCCGTGGAAAGGCCTCAGTACAGCCTCGGCCCCTCCTGGAAGCTGTTTCGGGATTTTGAGTCTCTGTGCTTGCGAATTCTGTTTTGGATATTATTGGTGCAATTGTTGGACAAAATGACTTGCTGTGGTATTAATTGCACTAATAGAGCGTCCAAGGAGTCTCCACTTCATTTTTTTCGGTAAGTTAAAATCTATATTCGTATTTTATGTCACTGCCACCTTTAAACTAGCTGAGTTTACCGAAGTAGCTAGCTAACTATCAGTTTAACATGTAGCATGTACTGTTTAACCATGAAATTTAAATGTAAAATACGGTAAAATAATTAATAGGGCATATTTAGATGGGTAATATGGTAAAAGATCAAAATGGGTTGAAATATGACGGAGCGCAAAGAGGGAGACTTCTGTGTCCATTCTTCCACCCGGTAATCCCCAGCGGTCAGGCCGGGCAGCCTGGACGATCCGGCGCCTACTTGCTGCGCCTAGCTGCTGCGCGGTCTGACCGCTCGTGGAGTTTTTCATGTCTGACTTTAACCGCATCTAATACTGTATTACGGCGTGAGCGCAACAGCGACAACTTAATATCGATGTGTAAGCAGCCTGAGTGGTAGGGTGTTTTCATCTGAACCCTTAAAATCTCCAGCAGGCTTGGAGTGACACCTGTGTCCATTCTTCCATCCGGTAATCCCCAGCGGTCAGGCCAGGCAGCCTGACCGGTGGGGCGGCTAGTTTCTGCGCGGGCTGACCGCTCGTGGAGCTCTCAGAGACAGATCTGACCGGAGAAATACTGCAGCTCGGTGAGAAGTCTATAGGGCATACAGCGTTTCCCTTAAATCCCACCGCCACGCCGACAAGATCCCAAGTTTCTTTGTTTTTGTTTGCGCTGTTTACCGAAGAAGCAGCGGGAACTAATATGTTGTCGCTTGTGATCACAGCCGGCGGGTAGCAAGTATGTACAGTCTATGATTTTACCGCTCCCTCCTGCAGTCTTCCCCTATTAAAATTTAAAATGTGTAACTTCATGTATTGGGATGAATGACTGATATTCATGTTAAACTCAAACGTTAGGTATTTAGGGGGAAAAAACAAAATAATAAACATTATACAGATGTCAAATAAATCAAACTGTAATTAAACTACACTCTTAAAAATGCTGGGTTATTTTGCTAACCCAACTGCTGGGTTAAGGCTGATTTTTAAGCAGTTGGGTCAATTTAATACAACATTGGGTCAAACATTTTGACCCAGCATGTTGGGTTAAAAGGGGCGGTAAAAAGAAAGATCCTCCCCCTCGTCTGTGCCAGCTTCACCATTTTAAAGTGGAGGATGACAAGGACTTGCCTCATTTCCATGGACCTTCACACCAGCAATGTTTAAAAATAAGGTAAGATGTTGATGATGGAGTTTGAAAATGTGTTCTGGTAAAGCAGTTGAAGGCAGGTAATGCAGTAAACAAAGAGATTTTAAGCCTACAAGAGATTTTCAACCGAATATAGCTTCGAGTAGCTAGCTAGCTATAGCTTCCTAGCATCAATCTACTTCATTAGATATAATGGAACAGAAAATCTGTGACACAACTATCTGCTCCAGACAGTGTTTTACCATTTGTCCACCCTCCCTTTGTTTGTTAGACATGATGAGGCTCAGGAAGTTAGGCTTACTATGCATAGCATCCCCACTAGCAGCAGGGGCTCTTTATGCTGCGGTCTGTGCAATACCTCCCGCTACTTGTGTAGCTCAGCACTACTTCTTTGGTAGTACCAATTCTACTATACATTTCTGTGGGGAAATGAGACAGGAGACCAATAGGCATAGTGCTACAGGAGAATAATAGCTTATCTAAGTGGTTGCGCGCAGCTTTCCCGCTACTGTAACTGTTGCCGGGCAGATTACGTTCACAGGTTCATATGCATGTTACATAACGGCACGCGCGCCAACTCCACAACCCCTGTCCCTGGGGTGGGGAGCAAACAAATGGCGGCGCAACGCGCAAACTGCTACTGCTTTCAGTTGACAACAGCTCGCGCTACATAGCGGTGAAATAAAATATAATCAGTGTCAGTCAGAGTCGTGTGCAGCAGCGCACAAATAAACGGGCGGACATTAACGTGAAAGTTAATAGGTTCCAGCTGATGAAGCACGCCAAAGGTAAACTGCTTGATAATCCATCCGAATCATGGGAGCCAGAGTTTCATGATAATGCCCGGTTTATTTCACTCAAGGTATGTTAAAGCTTGAATATATGTAGATGTGTACCAAAACAAAGTTGGATGTTAATTTATAACTGTAGATATTCCCACAAAACTGTCAGGAAGTTCTGAGGATTGTCATCCAATCCTCAGAATCCTTGAGATAATGTGTTAGCTTTTGAAACGATCTGGACGCGCTCTATTTTTGATAATCTGCCCAAAGATGATCTATGCTACTCCCTACTTGCATACGTTTTATTTTGTTAGCGTTTAACAGTAGCAGCATGGCTGTGAACAGCGCGGAAGATTTCCTCTCCAGTGTTGTGGGCAATATTACCAGATGAAAACAATTAATTTCAGCAAGTGTTTGGGACATTATAAAATAATAAGCTTGTAGGACACAACAGATTGAAACAGGGAACGGACAGGTGAGCTCACTGGCTACTGATTTAGCAGCATCTTACCAAACAGATGACGTTAAATGCACAGTTCAAGTGTTAATTGTTGATAAATACTGCTTCTGCTTTGTTGTATAATCCTTTGTAAACTTCAATTGTTAATTAACTGCAAGTAATATTGGTGATTAACTGTTAAAAAAATACAGCAACCAAATGTGATTTCTGTTTTTTCTAAAAGATGGATGAATTTGTGAAGGACAAACTTCTGGAATGGAACCTCTCTGAATACATCCCTGCTTTTGAAGGTATGATAAAGTAAATGTATTTCTGTAATTAAAGTAAAAAACTGTAACTACCAGTACTCATATTTACATCTGTGTAAAGCTGGGCGATATAAGATTTTTCATATCACGATACATCTTTTTCCTTTCTGTCAATGTCGATATATATATATATATATATATATATATATTACAATATATATTTTTGGTGTACAGCGCCTTATTTGGTTGTAATGCCATGTTGAATGCGCTTTATAAATAAAATTGGATTGGATTAGATTGGAATATAAGTCAAAAAACTCTGTGTAAAAATTTAAATGGGCTGTTACTTAAAAGTTAAATGTGAAATCATCAGAAGCTGCTTTTATATTTAAATATTAGTTTCCTGTCAAAGGTTCAACATGACAGTCGTACTGAGAGAACATAACATCTGTTTCAGGTGACTAAAATAATAAAGGTTCATAATATTATAAACTAAAGTCAGGACTAAAGCTTTCAAGTTTCAAAAGAGAACAAAAAATGACCTAACTGCTTGGTCAATTCCACTTAGAAACAAAATATTGACTAAAAATAAATCTCAGGATACAATAAGTTTTACAGGAGAATAAATTGTCGAACGTTTTGTCAATATCAAATGAATAAGCTAAAAACTAAAAGCAAATTCTCCCAATCTGTCCTGGTATAGTTTATTTTAATAGTGTAATTCAGTTGGCTATGAAAAAAAAGATGGACAAACTATATTGCGAGTCTCATTTTACTACTGAGAAAAAGTTACATTGCGGTACATATGGTTACTGTTTTATTGCCCAGGCCTACATCTGTGTGTGGCTTGTTGTTTTATTGATCAGTGATCCAAATTTCCTTCTTTTTTTCAGCTGAAAAGATTGACAAAGACAGCCTTTTCCTCTTGGATGCGAACAGCTTGACGACTTTGATACCTCTCCTGGGTCCACGCCTGAAAATTCAGAATAATTTAAAAAGATTACTTGAGGTATGACCAGTGTCAGAGGTCAAAACAGAATGGGGTACGTGTGCTTTAAATGTCATAGGTCTTTAGGTCATAACATAAGAGCTTTTTTTAACCATCTCAGAGTGGTGCATCATATACTTTCTACTTC